TTTGGGATTATCAAAATAGGCTTCTGTAATGCAGTCAGAGATTTTAGTTTTTCATAGCTCTTTGAAGGAAGACTTCCTACTGCTTCATGTAGAAGCAGAAATTCTAATGTTTTATGTAAAGCTTTTCATAAAACATTGAGAGGAGAAATAACTAGAACTGCGTTGCAGCTTTGAATCCTCCAATACTTTGCCAGTGACATAGAATCATTTAGGTTGGTAAAGACCTTTAAGATCATCAAGTCCAACCGTTAACCTAGCACTGCCAAGTCCGCCACCAAACCATGTCCCTAAGTGCCACATCTACAGGCCTTTTAAATCCCTCCAGGGATGGTGACTCAGCCACTTCCCTGGGCAGCCTGTTCCAATGCTTGACAACTCTTGGTGAAGACATTTTTCCTAATATCCAATTTTTACCCAGCAAAGAATATGCCCGTCCAAGCCAGGAGCATCCAGTTTCTCCAGGAGAATGCTGTGGGAAACAGTGTCAAAGGCTTTACTAAAGCCTTTGACGTGGCAAAAAACCCTAACTTTCTGTATTAAAAATGCAGTGTCATTGACTGATTTTTGGGAAATTAAATGTTTTACTACTCCTAGAATAGCTGACTTCTTTGAACATGAAAAGATTTATAAAATTGAGCTGTAACAAAAAAAGCTACACTCTGGATTTAAAATGTCGTGGTAGGAATTAATTGTTAACATTTGTACTTAATTCTGTGCTAGATGAATAAAACCAGACCATCATAGTAAGGCTATAATGGTCTATTCTTTGAACTCCTAGATTGCTTAAAGCAAAGCTTGGGTGGTTGTAAGAAGCTGTCAACTTCTTTTCTGGTATGAAGAAATCATTAAATTGGGTGTAAAGAGCAAGGTTCCTCTTTGACACAGGCCCACCCACTCTTTAAACTGGATTCTAGATTAACTGCAAATTTGAGGCTTCCCTTTTTCTTGGATTCCTTCCTTGCTTGCTTGCTTTCTACAAAAAGGTCTTAGAGCTACGCTGAGATCCTGCACACCCTCCCTGTATTTTAGCATAGAAGCAGCCCAGCCTATTTCTTTTGATAAAACTTCTAATTGAACGATCAGTTTCCTACACAGAGGTATTGGAATGGGTGGTATGAATTGTTAAAGGAAGTAGAGAAACCAGTATCAGTAGCTAACTACTTAACAGTTTAAACTTTAATATAGGCCCAGGACCATCTCAGCCTTGAAACTCATTATGACTGTCCTTACTGATTGCTTTTCTTGTTCTACAAAATTGTCTGGCCAGGTTTAGGAAGACCAGGTGTGCTCGTTTTTATGAGTCTTGTAGGCATCTCTGTAGCTGGCTTGAGATCCCGTAGGCCTGGGGCAGATCAAATATGACAAAACAGCTCAAAAGCAGAAAGATCTCAAAAAGGCAACAGTATATTTAAAAATTTAAGCATAGCATAGTGTTTGAATGAGCATATAGATGTACATATGCTATAGAGGACCATACAGAACAACCCTTTGCTTGAGAAGAGCTGGCATCTGTTCAGAAATAAAACTGAATTTACTGCATTAAAATAATGTATAATTTGGATAAATTGAATGCCTTGTAAAGTGCTGTTATTGGCAGGGGAACACATGCAATCTAGCACATGCGATCTTTCACGTGAAATCAAGAAGAGGAAAGGAAGAAGGTAGTTAATTTAGACTGGAGTTACTGGGAGGTTTTAGGATAGGCGTGACCTTATGTTTATTACCTAGGTATATGGAAATAACTGTACTTCTGTTGAATAGCAGGTTTAAAGTTTTGTTTTGGTTTCTTGTTTTACAGGGTAAGCCACAGGCTGTGTGCATCAGTGGGAGATATTTATTCTGTGCATCTCGGCTTTCTATATTTCCTCAACTGTAATTGGCTTGTAGAATAGCTGCCATAATAAATATTAAACAAATTTTGCAGCTGGTCAGTAACTACTGGGTTTGGTATTAGACTTTTTGTTTTCCCGAAGATGTAAAATACGAGGGGAGAGATTTCTATCTGGAGATTAGACACAGTGTTGGTAAACGGTGGCAGGTTGCCTAAAAATGTTTATTAAAAACAAATTACATAGTTGTAAACAATTTCACAAAGAAAAATCGTCAAACCAAGTGTGTGTGTTTGGTGTTTTTAGTTGGCTCAAAACCAGTTTGAAAATGTATTAATAAAAGATACTCATTAGATTTCGAAATTGCAATATGTGCTCTTACAGTTAGTTTTCAAACCATCATTCAAACTCTCTCCTGTATGTATTTAACTTTAAGCATATAATTTCTATTTAGCTATGCAGGACTGGGGTTGCCTGTTGACGTAGCTCACCAGAGAACGTGTGTTTTGGTTTTGGGATGCCCCCCCTCCCCAGTTTTAACTGACCAAATTTTGAGGAATTTTGGGGAATGCCTGAAGCTGTTCACAGGAGCTTATCCTTAGGGACTTGAGGAGTTTATTTTGTTAGAATTTTTTTCTGTATTTTTTTCCTTTTGGTTCAACAGTTATTTCAGTATCAATATTGAAGGACATGTATCCATTTTAGAACCTAACAAAAAATTTAATGGATCAACGTAGAACTCTCTTTCTCTGTAATCCCTTGAACTCTGTAATCCTTGGAGCTCTGCATAAGGCGGTCCTTGTGATGTGTAATAATTACTGTTACTGCCTCTTGATTTAGATAGTCAAAGTCAGTGTTTCAGGTTGTTTCAGTTAGGGAAACCATTGATACTGTAAGGAGTAAGGTGGTTATTTATCCTAGTCATTTACAGAAGGTGTACAAATCCTGTTTCCCTGAGCACAGGAGGCAGCAAATGGCAGGGGGCGGTTTCTTGTAACTGCAGTTTCTTTTCAACCTGAACTTGATCCCCCAAAAATGCTAATCTGGGGACTTTTTCTCAGGGTGTTTCTGTTACTTCTTGCTACCAAGTGTATAGATGATTGCATCCACCTTAGCTATGGTATGTCTGCTTGGAACTTTTAGCTTTCTGGTCCAAAATGTAGCTTAATTGTCTCATTTTCTCTGGAAGCCATTTTTTTTCCCCTCAATTCTTAATATATTTTTGTTGTCGCAACCTTGTTTTCCTTTCTCCAGTAATAGTATCCTAAGTCTTACTTGTAAGCATATCAACAGTATTGACCTGATGATTGAAAAATATTTTTATGACTTAGTAGATCTCTGACTAACGTCCAGAAAACATTGTGCATCAATAAAAGTAGTCTGATGGGTCAGTAAAGCTTTGTCAAAACCTTCTCAATCTTTAACTCAAAAAGTCATATTAGAGACAAGGCTGTAATTCACTTGGGAATGAGATTCTCAGCATTGGGTGATAAGGCTTTACTTAAGGGATGGAAGAGTCACCGTTTCCAACATCTGGTGCTCATTTGTCACGAAGGGCCCTCAGTGTCTCCTTGGTTCATTTTTTTTTTAAGAATATTTGCCCACATCAGAATTTAGAATTTGCCAGGCTTCTCTGGAGTACCCTTAGTTGAAAAGCTAACACAGGTGCTTTAACGTAGGCTTGCTTGCTTTAACACATTGTATTCTCCACCATGTTGGTGAAATCTGTTCTGGATTTAGACTAGAGAGGAAAAATACCAGAATGGTTTAGCTATCATTCAGATTACATATTTCATAATGATAAAGCCCTATGCCATTCAGTTTGTTACCTTAATTTTGTAAGCATGTTGGACTCCTTCACAATCTATATCTGGATCAATATGAAGGGCATGCTATAGAACTTGTCCTTTGTAACTATTCAGAACAACCAGTTTCCTAGACTTAGAGTAGGAGAAAAACCCTGGTGCCATGAGAGGAAGGTTGTAATCAGTCGTTTGCAGTGAGTTTTCATGCAACGGGGTTGCCATCATTGAATTGGTACGTATCTTGTTTGAATGTACTATAGGTGATGTGGGGAGAATCCCTTCCCGCTGCCGCAGGGATAGAGAGTCCCCAGCTGCTGTAGTTGAAGTTACTCAGAAGCTCTATTCCGGGTCATTTCTTCAGGCTGACATACAACAGAGAAGCATAGCTGCCTTGGGCCCATGGGCTGATTTGCTTTAGCCTTTTCGTAGGAGGCAGTAGAAATCAAATAAAGGTGAACATGGACAGGATTTCAGAGGGGAAACTTTTGAGTGGATGCTCTTTTATTAGCATCTTCCAGTTCTTTATTTGAATTCTTTGAATTTCTGGGACTCTCACAAGGCTTTTTTGTCAAAAAAGCAGGCCGGTGTTAGAAGACTGTCTAACTAATAGTGTCGGTATACTGTTTTGTGTGCGGACATCTTGTATTTCTTTTCCTCTTCAAGCTGGAAGAGAAGTCCCACTAATGAATTATGCACTGAAGAGAGAGGCTCTGTGAGGTTAGGAGTAGGATGGCAGGAGGGACGGAAGAAGTGTTCCGAGGAATCCTATGGAGAGTTACTATTAGAAACTATTAACTGCTGAAAAGGCCAGCATGAGGCATTTGTGAATCTTTTTCCTTATCTGTGTGTGTAGTAGAGGAAGAAAAATATTCCCTGCCTGGTTATGCTCTGCCTCTGTTCATAGGGAGCTTTTGTGGAAAATAGTGTTAAGCTATGCAAAGAGCGAACACGTCATGCAGAATCCCTCGCACTGTGTGTGTATTTAGTGAGGGTCGTGGGAGCCGTAGAGGACAAGGACTGAATTTTATGCTTGTGGGTTTGCACATCTGAAAGGCCGTTTTCTCATATGTAATTCTAGTTGCAGTTAGGGTGCACGGGTTATTTTGGAAACTCGGGCTGAAATTCGATATGTAGTAAAATGCAGTTACAGTGGGCTGAATATTCTCAGGTAGGACAAAGGAGTTGTGATGACAGCTTATTTTTTGTTTTCGGATTTCTAGTATGCTTGAAGGCATAAATCTAAGATTGTTCCTGTTGGTAAAGCTTGAAAAGGAGTAGAAATCCCAATAAACGTATATGATAGACTTTTTCTTGAGGGTCACTGTTATTCCTTTATCATATTTGCATTTTCCTCTTTTATTTATAGGCAGTTGCTGGTTATTTTGATATAATTTTTGAGAAGAACTGTCACAACAAGGTGAGTATTTGGGGTTATGCATTTTAAAAATGTCTTTGAGAGATAAGGGTGGTTTTGTACTTTATTCTGCCTCAAGGTGTTTGGCAGCGAGTCTATTTTGCTGTAGCAAACACTTCATGTGCATGTGTGTTTGGTAATTGATTGATGTAGTGTGATATCAAAAATGTTGTTCTTAATCAAACTCTTGAACTCTTCCATTGCAGGTCTTGTTTTCAACTGGTCCCCAGTGTACCAAAACACACTGGAAACAGACAGTTTTTCTCCTGGAGAAACCAATTCCTGTAGAAGCAGGTATATTTAAATTCAGTTGTGGTGCAAGAATGGTTGTGTTAAACTACTGTTATCACTAAATTTAAATCTTAAAGACTTTAAGAATGACATAAGTGTTAAAAAGAATTAGTAAATAAATCAGCTGCTGTTAAAGAAATTTTTTTGTCTAAGCAAAGCACTGGGAAATATCTATCTAGATTCTACAAAACTCATGTAAAAATACATATAAATGTCTGCATATGTATATGTAAGTGGGCACATGCCTTATACTTACTTAGCTCCGTAATTTTGATGAGAAAACTTGTGAATCAAAACATTTCTGAGGCAAAAAAATGAAAGACCAGAACATTGCTATTAACGTTCTATTAACATTACTAATGTTCTTAACTATCATATTTGTCAAGTGATTGCACAGGATTTTTTGTAGCACTCCTGAACTATGCTGTATTTGTTAAATGAATCATGAATATATGCCTGGGTGTTGTACCTGGCACTGTGGGATTACTCTGTAAATTGAAAACAGTTGCAAAGAACTCACAGCCATGAACTTGATCCATTGAAGTATGGCAGTTGTTGTTTTGATACACTGTAAATTTTTGTAGAATGGATAAGTACCGTAATATGGTTCACCTTGGATTTGATGCAAGTAAAAGGGCTTTTGTTGTCATCAGGGATAACCCAAAATTCAGATGATAAATTGTTGAAGTAAGGTTTCGAAGACTGAAGTGATGCTTGTTAGTGGGTTTAATTAGTTCTATGTGGTAAGTCTTGAAAATACATTTCTATGCAAGTAGTCAAATATTCCTTGCTTTATAGACACAGAAATATGTCCGTGACCATCACAGGATAGTCGTGGAAGAGGATGGACATACAACAGGGCAAGAATTACAAGTCTTGCCCTCTTATTCCTGTAGAACTGCACTTTTTTTCAGCCTCTCCTAATCTTTTTATAATCAAAGGAAATAAAGTAGTTGTATTTTTAATGCTGTTTTATTATTTTTTATTTTTGTCCACTTAACCACTAGATATTTACTGACCACTGTTGAACTCTAATGGTTGAACCCAATGGTGAATTAGTCGTCTTTGAGGGCCATTTTTCTTTACAGACTAGCAGGTCCAAGGGAGGAACCTTGGAATTGGGCTCGTTTCTGCTGGTCTGTTAATAAACTCATGGTAATACATGGCCCCAACCTGAACAGTTTATAAATAGACCAGACATATGGGGGGAAAGCGTACAAAGGCTTATGGGGGTGCTGCAAAAGAAACTGAGGTCAAGAGGCTTAGAGATGCTATAGAGAAGTATGGATGTAGAGGGAATATTGTCTCTCTTAACGGATCTAATTATGAATGTCAATGGTGAAAGCAGCATCTGTGCTCAATTAAACCGCTTTTGCAGTTGCCTCTTCCACCTATCAGCCGTGACAACTTTTTACCAGGAGCTCCTTTCCTAAAGGCACTATGGTCTATGTTATCTGACAACTCATTTCTCTCTTTCATGCTTTGACTTTATATTCTTAAATAATTTTTATATATTTGCATATTCTTAGGTCCTGTCACTTCTTGGGATGCACATATACATTGGTACATTTGTACTTGGCTTGTGTTCTGTTCAGTTTCTCTTTCTAGACAAGGCTGGCTAAGGTCTCCTTGCTGCGACTCATTAAATCTCAGTGTCATAGAGTGTGAAGTGAAAATTTCTTAAGTGCAATGACATTTGTTAGAATATGCACACTATTTAATATTACATAGATCATTTGACATTTACCAAATGTCTGAAATTACTGGGAGGTGTGCCTGGCTCTAGAATTCTAGTCTAGGTGCGGTGACTTTCTGAAGACAACTGCAGAAACAGTGTACTTTGAAGCAGTGAACAGACCTAGTTGACCTTCAAGGTCACTTTTGCCGCAAGTCTTTCCTTTCTCTTTATGAGCTCATACTGCTTAAAATTATTCCCGTAACAAATCTTGTTGCAGCTAGGCTTCTCTTTTCTTTCTACCTGTCTCCTTCTCTTCGCAATTATTTATTTAAGTTCCCCTTTCCCATCCTTTTATGCATTCTGTCTGGTTTTATATCTTATATAAAATTACCACTTCAGTCTAAGATTGTCTACCTGTTATTTCTAGTGTTAGAGAAGGTTCTGAGAGAAACTCTTGATGTAATTTCCTTTTCCTTTGTAATCCCAGTGTTAATTTCTGTGGGATATTTGTTTTTCATGGATGACATAAGCGGATCAGGGCAGAAGGTGTTTTCTGATACTTACATAGGAATGTTGCTTAATTTAGGTCATTTTTTTGAAAGACCGTTGTCTCTGATTCTTTTCCTTCACTGTTCCAAAAATCTTTTTTACTCAAGACATGTTACTGTAAGTACAGATTTCTCTGTCTTCCTTTTTTATATTGTTTTTTTTCCTTTGTAAAAATAGTGATTTGAATATTTATCTTGGTAATTTGTGGTTAACCATATTCTTTGATTTCTTTAGTCTTTCGCTTTCCATTTTACCAGCTAAACAGACTGCTCAAACTTCTTTTGCAGTACATGTAAAGTTGCATTTCCAGCTGTTTCTTGTCACTTGTTAATGACTTATGCTTGTTACCATTTTACCATGCGTTGTGTCTGCCTGGCATGTTGAACTGAACTCCACTCCAAGTGTACTTAGCTTTTGGGGAAATTTTTTTGTCTTCAAATGGATTTTTCTCAATGCAAGTTAACTGAAGAAAAAAGTAACTGTATTAGATAAAACACATTTGCATCATTTGAAGGCTTCAGCCTTTATTTCCATTCCGGTGTTTACCAATATTCATCAATCCTCTGTATAAATTCTTAGAATAAGAAATGTATATATGGCACTGGGAGACACAAGGAAGAAGACCCGCTTGTGACTAAATCTATTGTTAGAGTACTAAATATTGGAAAATAAATAAAAATAATATGATTTGAGTCTTGCAATAATCTGACCAGTGTACCCATGGTGGCATTTATTTTCAGTATTTTAATAGGTTGTGAAAGAGGAATTTGGTGGTATAAAATGCATTTAAAATGTTTTCCTGGTTTTTGAAAGCATCTTTCAGACAGGGTGGTCGGGGGTTTTTTCCCCCCCACCAGTGAAGAAAAATGGTTCCCTCAGATTTCTAATTCTGAGTAAAATAGTAAGGCTGACTTAAAGTCTCGATCGGATGCTTTATAGCTTCTGGGGATATGCCGGAAGTGGTTATAAAGCAGTGGTTGTATTTGGATTTGCTCTGTAAAAGAGGTTGAGCTTACAGGTATCTGGACCTGTTGGGTATTTAACAGGAAAAGACTGCTTTATGCCACGGCAAAATTGTTTTGTCTGCAATGTGAACTAGCTAATTTTCTCAGCAGTTTGCTGCCAGGTTATTTGTTGTAAAAATAGATCTATTTTCTCAGCCATAAAAAAGACTGAACATTTTGATCTCTAATGATAACAGAATCAAGGCATTACAAGCCAAAGGATGGGGCTTGCAACTAATCCTCCCTCCTTTGCTGTTCCTGCCGCAGCCTGTGCCGGGTGTCTGTTGCAGTGTTTGCAAATTCTCTGAGGTGAAATGGGAGAGCTTTAATCTGGGTCCAAAGATCTGGAGAGTGAGGCAACAAAAGTTACACCTAATTAATACTTCTGATTTGCCACTGAATTTCAGCTTGATACCTAACTACTAGATAGCTTTGTATGTAGCTTTAATGGATCATTTCTGTTGATTTGGTTTAGATTTAATGTGTGAGTGGGGCATAGTCTCTTACTGCTCATGTATTCTGAAAAGCTAGTTTTCCTCCTCACAGACTGTGACGAGAGACTTGAAGCTGATGAGTAGCGTCAGCATGTTGGATGTGCTTTAACTGCTTAGCGTGCAGTAAAATGAAAGAAACTGGAGAAAGAAGCCAGATGATATTTTATTGCCAGAAAAACTGTGTTTTTCTCAGTCAAAAGGCTATTGTATTGTGGACTCCCTACAGAGGGCAAGGCTTCACTTAGCATCCCTTTTAATAGCTTGAAAATGTGTTTATTTTGAAAATTGAAATTGAGATTATTAATGGTCCAAACATGAGTCTCTTCCTTTCATTGAAATATTCCTGCTAAGTTTCATAAGCAAAAAATTATATAGAGTATCATTCTCATTTGGTTGTCTCAAGCATTTATGAAATAAATAAAATGCTTACAAAAATTATTTTAAAGGACCCACAGAATCTTTTCAGTAACAGCGCATTAAGTTAAAACCCAGATCTGTATGCAAGCAAATTCTATTAGAAATAAAACAGCATATTGTAGGCATTTTGTGTTCTTGATATTGCCTTGCAGTGGAAATAAAACCTTGATTTGTTTTTCTATGGTGCTTAAAAGGGGCTAGCACAGCAAAACTGCAGTAGAACTCACATGAGTAAGCCCTTGTGAAATCCTTGATTATCTTTAGTCTCCGTAATTGGGTAGCTGTTTGTAAATTTACAAACTGAAAAATGTTAATTTGTCTACCTAGAGAGTTTTGTTAAAAATAGGGAAACAACACTAGCACAATTAATCTGTTTGAATGTTTTGATCTTATACTGACATACTTCAATATTGTGCATCCCAGTTGGATAATTTGGTTCCTAATTGAGATTTTAGTGTCTGTTTTGCCTGTCTACAGCTGCAACATGGTGTCTATAGAATGCTGTCACTTGTTTACTTACAAGTGGTATCTCCAAAAATGATGCTCGCTTTTAAAATGTAGTCATTGTTAAAACTTGAATTTTGAGGTCAGACTAAATCTTGCATGTCTTATGCTGTATCTTTTGAAATCTGCTGTTTACTTTTCAGAAACATCTGTAAGTGTGTATTTCAGGCACTAAATTGAGAGAATCTCTTCCCATGGCTGTTTTATCTTGTTGGAAGATAATAGAAGTTCTGTATCTAGACAGGCAAACTTGGATGGATTTCTTGTGCCATTCTGTGTGGCCCCCCTTGCAAGTTCTGCGACTGCAAGGGTATACGGCTCGTACAGCAACAACAGTCTCGTTTTCTTGGAATTTCA